ATGATCAGCAACACTCACCATCAGCTTCGACCAGGAACAGACGCCGAAGTCAGGAGGATCCATCTCAGGTGCAGTTCCTGGAGGAGGTGGTGGATCCCACCGAGGAGCCGGATCCACAAACTGTGGAAAAACATGTACACACAAAGCAGACACCACAACAAAAACCACAGTCAGCACAAGCACAACAACAACAACAACACAAAAACACCACCACAACAACAACAAAAAACACCACCACAACAAAACAAAACACCTCAGACTAAAGCTTCAGAGTTCAGTCCCTCCCAAAAGGCTTTTTGGGAGGATATCATAGAGGAGCTGACACCAAGCAGAGAAGTAACATCCACACCGATCAGTAGACCAGGCCTGGGCAAAACAGCTCAGGTTCAGAGTCAGATTTTGGGAGATAACACAGAGGGGGAACTCCATCTCAGCCCCACTAATCCGTTTAGAGCTTCTCCAAAAGAACAAAGGACCAAGCGTCCTGTTCACGGTCAGACTCCACTCCACACACCACACACAGAAACACAACATGACAAACAAAATGAGAAACAAACACCTACAAACACTACAACACAATACTCACACGTGGTGGAAGACCAGGGCACGGAGCTGGACACTACTCCAGGTCTGTCCCCTAAAAAAATCTGTGTCACCGCCCAGGTACACAGAGATCCTGTTGAAACACAGAAATCCCCATTGGAGCTGTACAGGGAGCTTCTGGAGGTTTTGGAGGAAAGCTCTCCCTCTCCCCCAAAACCTACAACATACAAACCGAAAAGACACATAAACACAGACAAGAAAATGACAGACTGGAGCCTGACTGTAACCAAAAAATGGCTGTTCATTGGTGACTCCAACCTGGCCAGGATGCCAATGCACTCTATTCCAGACCTGCAGATAGACAGCTATCCAGGGGCTAACTTTCGCCACGCACAGGGTATTTTGTCCAACGCAACCAGTGAGGTGACAGTGGAGAAAGTGCTGCTCTCATTTGGTCTGAATGCTAGAGCACAAAAAGTGAAGGAGACATCCACAAAGCAGCTACAAGCAGCAGTCAGATTGGCAAAAATTAAATTCCCATACGCAGAAATCTGGATCCCAAAAATTAACTACTCTGCATTCCTACCGACCCAGGAAAAATTAAATCTGCAACTGCTGAACGCCTACATATTCAGGAACATGCCGTATATCGACTCTCTTGAAAGAGACAAATTTCTGACAGAGGTGGACCACATACACTGGACAAGACCAACAGCTAAATTAATGTTTGACCACTGGGTCACTCATTTAAACTTAAAGGCCCCTTAAGCCAGGAGACGGAGGGGCACGAGGGGCTACAGCCCCTTTCGTCACAGAATGTCATCATATTGACAAAAACATTCACTCCCACCCAAGCCCAATTAGATCTATTAAATCGAGGACTCACCTTCATACCTACCTTAGATTCGAGAAAACATCAAAAAAATCAATTAAAATTGGACATTCAAAATTATCATAGACGATTAAAATTAGCGACATATTTTAATGATGACCAAATTAGTACAATTAAACCATTTACACCAACATCAATTTGGACCCCACCCTTAGAAAAATTACCAGAGGAAATCCACACATTAATTCATAAAGACAATCAGGACCTTAAGAATTATTTTAAATTCTATTTGGAAAAATCAAATTTGACACAACACGAGCTAAAGGCACTTAAAGAGCTAAGGAACAACAAAAAAATAATTATTAAACCTGCAGATAAAGGAAGTGTAGTTGTGATCATGGGACGAGATCAATATATCACAGAAGTTTCGCGCCAATTAAACGATAAAAAATATTATAAGAAATTAACAGAGCCACTTTATTTAAAAACAGTCCCAATCGTCCATGATATCATCGATACCTTAAAAAACAAAAAATATATTAATAAAAAACAGGCACAGTACCTCAAGGGTGAAGGAGAACCTCGGGAAAGGAGATTTTATATTTTACCAAAAGTTCATAAAGATCCAGAGAAATGGACAGTACCATTTCAAATACCCCCAGGCAGACCAATTGTTTCAGACTGTGGGAGTGAAACCTACCATACGGCAGAGTTTATTGATCATTATCTAAATCCCTTGTCCATGCTCCATGCTTCATATGTAAAGGATACATATCATTTCATTGACATTATCAAACAATTGAGGATCCCACAAAATTCATTATTCTTTAGTTTAGATGTAGATAGCTTATACACAAATATAGACATACAGGCAGGAATAGAAACAGTTAAAAATATTTTTAGGGAACACCCAGATAAGGATAGACCAGATGAAGAATTAATTAAATTATTAGATATTAATTTGACTAGGAATGATTTTGTCTTCAACGAGGAGTTTTACTTACAAATTAAGGGGACGGCAATGGGTAAAAAATTCGCCCCAGCTTATGCAAATATTTTCATGGCAAATTGGGAGAAGGAAGTTTTGGCAAAATGCCAAAAGAAACCTCTTCATTATCTCAGATATCTGGATGATATTTGGGGAATTTGGTGTTATTCCCGTGCAGAATTTGAGGAATTCATGCAAATTTTGAATGGTCATGATCCCTCAATACAATTAAAATATGAAATCCATGAAGATAAAATTGATTTCTTGGATACGACAGTGTACAAGGGGTCATCGTTTTCTTTAGATGGTAGTTTAGATATTAAAGTCTTTTTCAAAAAAACAGATACTCACGCCTTACTGTTCAAAACCAGTTTTCATCCAAAACACACCTTCAAAGGTCTAGTTAAATCACAGTTATTACGTTTTCATCGAATTTGTACACAACAAAAGGATTTTTGGGAGGCAGTAAAAATATTATTTGTAGCATTAAGAAAGAGGAGTTATTCGAGATCATTTTTGAGGCAATGTCTAAAAACATTTAAAGAAACAAAACCAAAAATTACAAACAAAAGGATTACTCCTTTAATTACCCAATATTCGACAGTGACTAAAATTATAAATAGACAGATTAAAAATAATTACAAACACTTAATTGGAGATCCAGGGTTATTAAAAAACCACCAAATTATTTTAGCTTATAGAAAAAGTAAAAATTTAAAAGACATTTTAGTACGGGCCAAATTAAATCAGGTACAACCAATTGATACAAACCCCAAATTGAATTTTTTCCAGACATTGACCTATGTAACAAACAAATTGGATAAAACAATGTTCAAAATCAAACAAAAATTTACATTACAAACTAAAAACTGTGTTTATATTATAATTTGCAACAAATGTGGAAAACAATACATTGGAGAAACCAAAAATACGTTACGAACAAGAATGTGGCAACATAGGTACAATATAAAAAATCAAAAAGAAACTAATACTCCCCTTGTACGACATTTTATTGAGCACGGCATCGACGCCATCAGGATTGGAGGGATTCAGAGTAATTTACTCTGGACAGATAAGGACAGGAAAAATATGGAAAGACGATGGATTTATTTATTACAAACCAAAGAACCAATTGGCCTTAATATCAAATTCTAATCAATCTTTGTTTTATATCCACATGTGATTAGGGGCTCCAATGCCTAACCCTGACCCCTAATCACTAACCACCAACCCCTAATCACTAACTACCGACCCCTAATTACTAACCCCTGACCCCTAACCACTAACCCCTAGCCCTAAACTAACGCCTAACCAGAATCCTAACCCTAACCCTAACCCTCGGGGATCAAAATCTAACCCTAACCCTATCCCTAACCCTAACCCTAACCCTCGGGGATCAAAATCTAACCCTAACCCTATCCCTAACCCTAACCCTAACCTTCGGGGATCAAAATCTAACCCTAGCCCTATCCCTAACCCTAACCCTAACCCTCGGGATCAAACCTAACCCTAACCCTGGCCCTAACCCTAACCCCTAGATCTAGCCCTAAACCTAACCCTAGCCCTAACCCTAACCCTAACCTCTCTAACCCTAGCCCTGACCCCTAACCCTAACTTTTAAAAAAACTAATAATTTATTGGTATTAATTATTTTTTATTCATTATTAATTGTTAAACTTCATAATACGTTAAAAATAGTAATCATTTGACATTTAAACCATAAATATTAAAAATGCATATCATATCTAACATTTAAAAAGGATTACGGCCTAAAAACACTACAACTATCTTTAAAAATTCAACTTCATTAAAATACTAATTGGCAAATATGGATTTAAAAGACTAAAATTTCAAAGGGGCATTAAATTACAATTCATTTCAATTAATCTGTTAAAAAGAAGGGGGAAACATTCTAAATTGGGCCTTAAAATTACAATTAATCAGCTAAAAACAGGGTAGAAATTTCTAAATTGGGCATTACAATTACAATCCATTAAATTTAATCACTTCAAAAGAGGGTAAAAAGTTCTACTTTGGCATTAACATTCAGGTCATTTAATTTTAGTTGGCATTTATGGGGTTAACTGCACCCAGACGGCCGGGGGCCCCCGTCTGGCTCTGCCCTCTCCCACGCCCCTATAAATAAGACACGCACACACAGCTCAGCCTCTCATTCCTCAAATGTCTCCTGAAGAGCAAACACCTCTCAAACAGACTCAGACAAGTCCGGACATATTCCCTTTTGTGCCCATAGCCTGAAGAAGACCCAAGCGGGTCGAAACGTCGCGACTGGGCACTTTTTTCACCTCTTATTTCTCTATTCTTCATTTTGATAGACATTTTATTTAGTTTTTTCACTTTTATTTCATTTTATTTCATTTTTATTTCACAAAAAACAAAAAAGCAGAAAAAAATAAGAACAATTCATTTATTTTGTTATACTGTTTTAGTTTTAAATACCTTCATTTCAATAAATAAATAAATTAGATAGATAGATACACCAATAAATAAATAGTTTAGTAATTACACCACATTAATAAATAGTAATAAATAATTAAAAAGATTAAAAAACAATCATGACTTACGAGCATGAACAATGGACTGAAGTGCGGTACGGGAGGCGTGGTCGACGCCCGTACCGCACTAATAATCAGCAGTACCAAACGGGGTCGTGGGGGACGGGGAACAGGGGGATGGACCGTGCACCTCCTGTCTCCTATCCTAGGAGACAGTCCCCCTTTTCCCGTAATCCTAACCCTAACCCTAACCATATAACCCCTAACCCTTCGGGTTAGGGGTTATATGGTTAGTAACGTTACATGGAAGGAAGTAGGGTTAGGGTTAGGGTTAGGGTTAGGGTTAGGGTTAGGGTTAGGGTTAGGGTTAGGGTTAGGGCTAGGGTTAGGGTTAGGGCTAAGGTTAGGGTTAGGGCTAGGGTTGGGGCTAGGGTTAGGGCTGGGGTTAGGGTTAGGGTTAGGGTTAGGGTTAGGGCTAGGGTTAGGGTTAGGGCTAGGTTTAGGGCTAGGGTTAGGGTTAGGGCTAGGGCTAGGGTTAGGGCTAGGGCTAGGGTTAGGGTTAGGGTTAGGGTTAGGGTCAGGGCTAGGGCTAGGGCTAGGGTTAGGGTTAGGGTTAGGGTTAGGGCTAGGGTTAGGGTTAGGGGTAAGGTTAGGGCTAGGGTTAGGGTTAGAACTAGGGTTAGGGCTAGGGTTAGGGTTAGGGCTAGGGTTAGGGTTAGGGCTAGGTTTAGGCCTGGGTTAGGGTTAGGGCTAGGGCTAGGGTTAGGGCTAGGGCTAGGGTTAGGGTCAGGGCTAGGGTTAGGGTTAGGGGTTAGGGTTAGGGTTAGTGCTTGGATTGGGTTAGGGTTAGGGTTAGGGTTAGGGTTAGGGGTTATATGGTTAGTAACGTTACATGGAAGGAAGTAGGGTTAGGGTTAGGGTTAGGGTTAGGGGTTAGGGTTAGGGTTAGGGCTAGGGTTAGGGTTAGGGCTAAGGTTAGGGCTAGGGTTAGGGTTAGGGCTAGGGTTGGGGCTAGGGTTAGGGCTGGGGTTAGGGTTAGGGTTAGGGTTAGGGTTAGGGTTAGGGTTAGGGCTAGGTTTAGGGCTAGGGTTAGGGTTAGGGCTAGGGCTAGGGTTAGGGTTAGGGTTAGGGTCAGGGCTAGGGCTAGGGGTTAGGGTTAGGGCTAGGGTTAGGGTTAGGGCTAAGGTTAGGGCTAGGGTTAGGGTTAGGGCTAGGGTTAGGGCTAGGGTTAGGGTTAGGGCTAGGGTTAGGGTTAGGGCTAGGTTTAGGCCTGGGTTAGGGTTAGGGCTAGGGCTAGGGTTAGGGCTAGGGCTAGGGTTAGGGTTAGGGTTAGGGTCAGGGCTAGGGTTAGGGTTAGGGTTAGGGGTTAGGGTTAGGGTTAGTGCTTGGATTGGGTTAGGGTTAGGTTTAGGGTTAGGGTTAGGGGTTATAT